AGGAGAGGGGAGCAGGGGGGAAGTGTGAGCTCATCACTGTTGCAAATCAGTTATTGCTCTGAATTCAGTATATTGCATGTGCAGAGGACCAGGGAAGAGTCGCTAACCAGAGAGTACTAGCAGCCAGATTCTCATGCCCTTGCCCCAACAAGTGCAGGGTATTACTCAAGCAGACTCACTGAAGGCAACGAGGCTGTTGCCAAATCAACAAGGATGCTTAGACAACATGGATGTGTGTAATGATGCAGCCGATGATCTCCTGTAAAGCTGAAGCTGGACCTGGATACATCACCTGCTGGGGCAATGGCCAGAGCTGACATACTTCTTTGGGCAGCTGATTTCTACCTTCAGGTGTTTTGCAGTGGGTTTGGCCCCTAAGGGTCTGAGAAAAATGTTCCTTTTTTTTTTTTTCTTTTGTAAGATGACTGTTCCCATTACCTGTGCTGCAGTGAAATCTTCACACAGCAAGTTACTGTGTTTAATTATTCATTTCCTGAAGAAAAACAATCCTCCTTCCCTTTTCAAATCTCTTCCCTTGCAATGCAATCAAATCTGTCCATGCTCATTAGTGTTTACTCATCTTCTCCTTCTTACACTATTCTTTATTTTAAAAATATGTATCCCAGTCCTTCTTTTCCTAACCGAGTATTCACAATTCTTCGTAGAGTTGGCTTTCTTCAAAGCCCTGTCTCAAACTCCTTCAATTTTTGCAGTAGCTACCAGGCCATGGAGTGATTACAATTGGGCTTTGGTTTCAAGAGCTAATTAACAGATTTTTGGTTTGTTTTTTTTTTTTAACCTGGGGAATCAGTTTGTTCGTTCAAGTCAGAGGCTTCCTTTCTTTGGGTTTAGGGAACCAGGTAATACTAGCAGGCAGCCCCACTGAGAAGGTTGGGGGGACCACAGTGCCCAAGTCACTCAGTGTCATTCCTCAAGATGCCAACTTTAGTCCCAAAAATAGCATAAGAAATTCCCACCCATTCTTGTTTACTCTCCAGAGCAGATCAGTTCCATCATACTGAACCAAGTGTTTGTTGGCCTCACCATAAACCAGTCACTGGGTTGATCTCAGTTCAAAGTAGCACCTTTTTGGAGGGTTCTTCTGAACCAGTGCAATGGTTTGCTTCACAGTTCAGCCCCACAAACCCACGCCTGGCAGAGCAAAGAGACTGGTCACTGCACGTCAGGGCAGGACCTTCTGGCATCCACTGTGCCACTAAGCCAGCTTCCCACAGACGTACATCCAAAACCTACAGAGAGCAGCACCACGCTGGTAGGGATCAGAGTCCAGCATATCAGTTTGTCACTGCTCAGCAGGGTTTCCAAGCTTGAGTGCATCTGCAGGCTCACACAGTCAAATGGCATCCAGACCTGAGCTGGCTCTGTCAAGAATGCACTTTGCACTCTCCATGCAGGGATTAACGTGTGTCAAGCATGTCCACCCCAGGCAACCTTGGTAGGGCTTTCAGCTTTTTACCATAGAACTCATTCCATGAGGACTTCAGGTGCTGCAAAAACCAATCCCAAAGATACACGCAGGGCAAGGCTTGCTGGTAATTTGGTGTGTTTACTATGGAAACATGCTGCAGTTCACCACTGTTCGTTTCTTCTCTTCCAGGTAGGCTGCAAAGCCATGATGGTTTTCTTCCAGTACTGCGTCATGGCCAACTTCTTCTGGCTCCTGGTGGAGGGGTTGTATCTTCACACCCTGTTGGTCATCTCCTTCTTTTCAGAGAGGAAGTACTTTTGGTGGTACATCTTGATTGGCTGGGGTACGCATCTTCTCAAAACTGAATGCCAAGAAGTGATCTTGACAGGCCTTTTTAACAGCAATTTAATCTGCAAACCTGGAGGTTCAGACAGGGCGGAGATGTAGTATACATGTTACTTTGCTGCCAAGAATTGTTAGTGCAACCAGGAGCAAGATCAAGTGATGGCCAGAGGAATTTAAGAGCATTAGCCTAAATCTTCAAGGGTGTTTAAGAACTTCGTTTGTGCTAGGTTAATTGATAGTTGAGCACCTCAGTGTCCTTAAGGACTGTGGGTCTGAATCTCCCCATCACCTTTATAGTCATTTAGTCCTTTAATCCTTACCGGGATCCCAAAGTTGACGTCATGCATTGACCTTAAATTGTAAGAATGGATCCCAGCAAAGCAGGACTCCTGGACTGAACCAGACACTATGGTCCATCACTCTCTCCTTGTCTTACTGAATTCAGGCCAGCGAGCTATCATGAGATCCTGCCACCTGTGTGCTAATGCTGATAACCACCTGCTTATTGCATTCATGATTTCTCCAGCTTTAATGTGAATCTAGTCTCAAACACATAAAACCAAACCAAACCAATCAAAACAAAACAAAATAAAATAAGAAAATGCAAAGGAAGACAGAAACAAACTCTTCACAAAGTAACTCAGAGCTGAATTGCTAAATTATGCAAATTAATCCTACCAGCTCAACTTCTCTTCTTTCTCCAAAGAGGAAACAGAGATTTCTTTTCCCCTATAAGCCATTTAGCTCAAGATTTATGTATAAGTAAGCAAAATACTTTCTATTGCATGCTCTCGATAGCTGAAACTGAGAAATAATTAGAGCGCGGAAAAATCTTGAAAAGAAAAGAAAAAATAAAATTGTGTCACGTACAGGGGTATGCCTGGACTCAGGATTTGATCAATTAGCCGTAGAGTAACTTTCATCGAAAGTGACAGGAGTTACGCTTGGGTTCACACTGCAGAAGAGAGACAATTCTCTGTGCTATAAGCATAAGAAAAGATTATGTTAGCAGGCTTTGTTTCAGATGCAGTTAATCAGGTCAGACCTTCTTTAAACCTGCCTTGTGCATAGATACCCTTTCTTTCAGCACAGTAGAGCTGGTGGATTTTAAAGAAAAATGTATGAAGCTAATGATTTTAAATCAAAGGAAATCTCTTGTAGTCATAATGTATTCTGAGGTTGCTTGGGTGAGGAAGGGCAATTCAAGTGCTTGAAGGATCTTTTGGCCTTTCAGTCATCCATCATTTCAAGAGCATCAGTGATGGATCTGAAATGGATCATGCAAGAATTAATAATTTGGACGCACTCATTACAGTTCTTACTGGTTTTATTATCATTGCACTGGGAAATCACTAGTAATAAACAATTCACAATGCTGTGACTAACGCAGAACAAAGTGACATGTCCTTCCTGGAGTATTTCCAATCTAAATCTAATTAAAGACAAGAAACAGAGAAAAGAGGCACCACAAGGATGAAACAACACCATCCTAGTCAGGCAGAAGATGATGGAGTGAGGAGCAGAGGCAGGTTCATCTGGCCAGCTGCAGACACCTACATGTGAACTTGTCACTCCAGGCTCCCTTTATAGTCAGTGGAGATCCAGGCAATATTTCTTGTCCAAAAGCAAACATCTAAAGTAGCTCAGATGACCTGTGTGTGAGAAGTACATATTTCTCCCCATTGATGCTAAAGAGAGCCTGTGGTGACTGGCTTAGATACAGGTGTCCACACTGTAGATGTCTAAAGTGATTCCTATTCCTTGCCTTTCATTGTCAGAAGTGTTTTTGTAGGCACTGCAACAGGAAGATAAATCTGTTAGGGAGCAGTTACAGAAACTCATCTTACATGGCCAATGGGAGAGAAAGGCAACATATTGGTTGTTTGACATGTGAGCGTTGAAAACATGAAGCATTTGCCCACTCTTGAGAGAAGGCATCACCGCAGTCACTCAGGAGAGATGGAGAGTGAGGGAGAACAGCCCTGAAAACATTGATACTGATTTCTGACAGTAATACCATCTCTTCTCTTGTCAGGTGCCCCCTCCGTCTTCATCACTGCTTGGACTATTGTCAGGATTTACTTTTTCGATGTTGGGTAAGCCTATGGACTCAATTATCTTTCCTTTATAATTCTTCCTTCCTTTGTCTCCAAGGAAGGCCAAGGAAAGCCCTGCAGTTTTAGTAACCCAGCCATCCTGCCCTGACCCCAAGGGCAGTCAGAGCAGAGCAGAGGCTTTCCCCTGCCACCACGAACCGGGAAACGGTCCAAGGTCTCACTGAAGACACACAGTTTATGTCAACTTAGGCCAGTCACTCGCCCTCTTTGTTTCCCAATCCCTTGGTCAGGATATTTGCAGGGAATTTGTGAGTACACCCTGCTGGTCACATTTGGCCCAGTGATCCTGTGTATAACAAAGATAGCAGCTGAGCAGCTGCCTCATGCTCACAGCCGAGCTTTGCATCCTAAACTAACCCTAAATATGCTCACGCAGCACAGACTTAATAAACATACCCATTAGCTCTTGCACAGAAAATCTAAAAAACTCTTTTTTTCCCCAGGCAGATCTTAGGATCTGATCTTCATCCTCTTTAACCTGACAGCAGCCTTTGATATTTTATATAAGAAGCAGATACAATACAGCTGAGTAAATGAGGTAGAGCTATCCAAGGATATACGCAAATAAATAGGATCGGATCCTGCAATCCTCCTTCATGCTTTTACTCAAGCAGTCAAACCGTAGTAATTGCAAAGGCTTTTACGAGAAAACACTCCAGAGTTACAGAATCAGGTGCTTGTTATGTACTCACTGTGCATGCCCTCGCTTCTTGCATTTACAGCATATGGTTAATTCCATTTTCTCCTGTGCATTTTCCCTCTCCAAATGTGTCCTGATTTGTCCTTATTTCAGTAAGAGAAGCAGCTCAGTTTTCTCATTGCATTTTTGATTTACGGTCATGCTAACACATTTCCTGAAGGCTACTGAATTCTTTTATGGTTTCACTCTATCTGCATAAAACTGACCTTATTTATTCTGTTAATAAATAGCCTCTACAATGAGATAGAGACCAAAGGATTTAACCAGTCTGGTTAGCAATTCTTCTTACTGTATATTCCCACTCTAGCTCCAGCAATTCTTAATAAAACTACAGACTTCTTTGCATTTTCTCGAGGCTTTAAAGCTCTACATTTTTGTGCCAAGTAAAACAGAGTGTGAATTGACAGGATATGCTAATACCTAACATAGATTTTTCTTGCATACTAAAATTACCTACAGAGAAAATTTACAGAAAATTAATCCAGATTAAATAAAACCTAATTATGTAAGATTGGTTAAACAACATTAAGCCTCTATTTAAACATTCTGACTCCAAATTAAAGTGACCTTCATTCAGACTGCCTGAATTTATTTTAAAAATGAAGTGCACTAGACATAATTAGGGCCACTTTAATTCTAAATGAAAGGGCGGCATGCACCTGACTAAGTATAAACATCTGTGTGTGAGCAATTTGCTCTAGTCTCTTTTTATAGCTAGTGGAGATTTAGTCAGTGTAGTCCATGGAGTGCAATTCTCTTCATCCTAAAGTTGTTGCCTAAAATAGGTCTCAGGTACTGTGCCCTAAAAGTGCCTCTCTTCATCTACTATTACCTGAGCTGTCAACATTTTGAATCCGATGAGCTGAATCCAGCTGAAATTGTCTACAGTAGGTTCCACTAATCTATTTCTAACATGAATGAAGACCCATTTTCATTAATGCTCTCCTAATAATGCATCTTCTGTCACCTGACTCTTGTCAGGTCTGCAGATAAATGTGTCCCAAGCAATATTAGTCATTTCCATGTCGTTCCTATTCTGTCATTTCCTTATTGGCTTTAAAATACAGTTCCAGATGACCTAGGTGAGTGGTGTGGTTTGCAGACAATTCTGACTTCAGGATGAAATAGAATGATAGAATGGTTTGGTTGGAAGGGACCTTAAAGCCCATCTCGTTCCAAGCCACCTACCATGGGTAGAACAATTCCAGGGATGCGGCATCCACAACTCTGGGCATTTTGTTCCAGTGTGCTCAAAGCCCCATCCAACCTGGCCTTGAACAATTCCAGGGATGGGGCATCCACAACTTCTCTGGGCATTTTGTTCCAGTGCCTTAGCACACTCACAGTAAAGAATTTCTTCCTAATATTTCATCTAAATCTTCCCTCTTCCAGTTTAAAGCCATTACCCCTTGTCCTATCAGCACGTGCCCTTGTATAAAGTCCCTCCCCAGCTTTCTTGTCGGCCCCTTTAGGTACTGGAAGGCTGCTCTAAGGTCTGATCGGAGCCTTCTCTTCTCCAGGCTGAACAACCCCAACTCTCTCAGCCTGTCTTCATAGGAGAGGTGCTCCAGCCCTCAGATCATCTTCATGGCCTCCCCTGGACTCGCTCCAAGAGGTCCCTGTCCTTCTTGTGCTGAGGACCCCAGAGCTGAAGGCAGTACTGCAGGGGGGGTCTCACCAC